CAGGCAAACATCTCATGAGGATAATCATATAAACAGAATGCTGAGGAGCATCTGTAATAATATATATCCTATTATTCTGTTGTATACATTACAGATCACATGAGGGAACTGAAACTCTCTGCAGCCTGCCTGAGTATAGGGGACCCTTGGGGCTGTTCAAAACGATCAGAATTGGCAACTCTGACACCAGACTGAATGACTGCCTTGATTCAACTGTTCCTTTTTTGCCCTTTTTAACAAGTACATTTTAATGACCAGTATTGTTTTATTCGTGGTAGGTTGATCATTATTGCAGTTAACCTCACATTTACTTTGGCTAGTATTCTTCTTTGAAAGTCTTTGACATTTCAGTTGGTTTTGATTTGTCTCTTTGGTCATACTCCATTAATAATAACTTAAATTGAAATGGTACTTTTCAACTTACAAAGAATGCCTGTTATCATTGCACCTTGAAACAGCTCCAAGGGATAGGCACAGATTACGATTTCTGTTTTATAAGTGTAGAAACTGAGGCTTAGTGGACACAAGGGACTTACACAAGGGACCTTCAGTTTTAGCTCTGGGGAATGGCAGAGCTGAAAACTCAAATACAGGTCTTTGACTTCTTCTACAGTGCTCTTCCTATATGACATGCCAGCCATCATTAAGCCAACTTAGCTAAAAAAGATCCATTGAACACACGCAATAGATATGCTCACGTTTATGCACACACACACACACACACATACACAGAGAGTTATCAAACAAAAATAAATAAAAGAAAACATCAAGTAGAACTTGCAGTATCATTGTGTTCTGCATCCTCAGGAAAAAAAGGGGTAAGGAAACCTACTACACCACTTCTTCCCAGCAGGAATTCCAAGGCTTCTTCCTCCCTGCTGGTGTGTCTCATGTTACACAAATCTGATGTCCTTTTGAGTAATTTAGGAGAACCACCACACTGCTTTGACCACCAGAAATACCCCTCAGGTACAGGAGGGAAATTAGTAGGGATAAGTCAAGTGGTAAATTCTAATTGGGTGCCCCTACATAAATATTCAAGTTGAAACGGAATAGTGTGTTTAAATAAAAAGCCAGAGGAATGGCAGATGGCAGACCTAAAGAGATGGTTTTGGGGAGAGAAAGGCCAAGGCTAGGAGAGGAAATAATGGCAGTAAAGCAAGGCTCCCACTGAGTCTGTGGCATTTCACCTGCTCTTCTTCCAGCAGGCTTTCACCTCCTTCCAGCTTTCCAGCATTTCAGTAGATTGTCCCAGTGAAAGATTATTTATTTTTGGTCAGCGGCCCCGGCCTCATTGGGTTAACCCTCCATTAGCGGGCGAGGCCCCCCGGTTTCTATTCCCGGTCGGGCACCAGGTTCTGCCCAGTTGCCCCCCCTCCAGGCCAGCTCTCTGTCCTGTCCGGGAGTGCAGTGGAGGATGGCCCAAGTGTTGGCGCCTCCCCCCATGGGAGACCAGGATAAGCACCTGACTCCTGCCTTCGGATCAGCGTGGTGCGCTGGTCGCAGCGCGCCAGCCGTGGCGGCCATTGGAGGGTGAACCAACAGGCAAAGGAAGACCTTTCTCTCTGTCTCTCTCTCTCACTACCCACTCTGCCTGTCCAAAAAAAAAAAAAAAAAAAAGATTATTAACTATCATCCAGCACATCCACTGGACTGATGTAAGTGTGGCAGGCCAAGCATGCTAGCTTCTTATTGAAGACATTACCACAACTTTATGGTTCATAATTATATCCATCCATCCATCCCCAAAGGTAGAATTAAATCTTGGTTTATTCATTACCAGGTATTTCCACATATTTCCAAAGTGGACTAATACTTTCAGCTCTCCAGTACTACCTTAGAGGCATTGAACGTTACAACTAGACAGAAATGAAGAGAACTAAATCTTATTTTTAACAAATAGGAACTTGAAGGGATTTGTTTGGCTATACAAAACTAGATAAGAAATAAGGTCATGAAGTACTGATCTTTGAGTGAACAACAAAAAACAAGAAACAAAGTGTGCAGTGTTCTAATTCACATTATAGAGGGGTGTGTATTATCCTTGCAATTCATAGACTACCTCTTAAAAAATGAGAAAAATATGTTGCTTCAAAGAGAAAGGATTTTATTATAGAATAGAAATAGAGGGAAACTTATTTTTTCTGAATACCCTTTTTTACCACAGATGTTCTCTTTCTACCTAAAATAAAACTGGCTTTTTTCTTAAAGATTGATTTATTTACTTGAAAATCTGAGTTACACACACACACACACACACACACACAGGAAAGAGAGAGAGAGAAAGAGAAAGAGAGAAAGGGGAGGGGGTTTTCCATCCACTGGTTCACTCCCCAGATGGCCAACAGTCAGAGCTGGGCCTTTCCAAAGCCAGGAGCCAGGAATTTCTTCCAGGTCTCCCTGGGGGTACAGATGCCCAAGGACTTGGGCCATCTTCCATTGCTTACCCAAGCCATAGCAGAGAGCTGGATCTGAAGCAGAGCAGCTGGGACTTGAACCGGCACCCATATGGGATGCCGGCACTGCAGGCAACAGCTTTACCTGCTATGCCACAGGGCCAGCCTCAAAATTGACTATTAATAGGTATAAATCAATATTAATTTTGTGGTAGAAAATGACAGCTTCTTATCTTCAGACGAATATTAAGAGTACCCTTGAAACACTTTCTTGAGACTATTCTGATTTATGAAATGGAGAAAATGTTAGAATTTTGCTAACAAATGTTCCTTCATGTTTTTCTCCAAATAAGGAAAATGATTAGTTAGTATATTTGAAAAATTGTAAAGCAGTGACTTTTGTGGTAGGGATTCATATTAAATATTTTCTTAGGTGCTTTTTATTAACCAACCCTTCTGTAGCCTGTTCACACTGTTGGCATTGCCCTTGAATAGGATGTTGCAAAGTCAATGCACATTTGCTAAGAAATGGAAAACTAAAAATCCAGAAATAAGCAGGAGCAAAAAAAAAATAGACTTCCATGAAAATGGAAGTTATTTATAGACAGAACTTTTTTCAAAGTTTTCCTGAAGACTCTTGCACTAAAGATTATTAGAAAGTTACCATTCCTCTCTTTTTCTCTCCCTCCCTGCCCTTGCTTCTCTCTCTACTCTATGATGCACTCCTCTTGAGAGTCTAATTTTCATAGAATCAACGAAGTGTGATAGTGTAGTCAATACTTGCCCCTGAAGGTTCCACAGAGGTGGGAGGCCGGGATGAGGGACTGGAGCATACTTCTGTGTGTACCACACTGCCCTCTAGTGTGCATTTATCTCTGCACATGGCTTTTTCAGCCTAAATTGTTGGCAGAGATCTTCTCAAGGGGGGTTTTACAAATAGATAAATCCCATTCATATTTATTCTGTCAACTGTTCATTTGTGGAGAGTGCTATTAAAAGGGCTTAGAAAGTTTATTCTTATGAATAATGAAACATCTCCATCTTATTTATAAAGCTAATTTGCTTTGTAAATTCCTTTCTTTCATAAAAGTATCAAGATAAACTCAAATGGATTCCAAGTCCAATTAGACAAGTTCTAAACTATTGGCTTCATGGCATTTAAATTTAAGAAGTTAATGTGCATAAATACGACAGTGATTTTTAAAATTACATCTTGGGACTATCATGTGAGACATCATCTCTCCAATTCAGAATTTTTTGCATTGTTTGCCTTTTTCATTCATTTTGCACTTACATTTATTTGTGACTACATAATAGCACCTAAGAGGTATCCAAAAGACAAAAAAATTTCTGCCTGTGGCATAGATCCTCTAAATTATTAACTATCTCCATGTAGAACACTAGGAAACTTCAAAAAGTTGTGGAAAGTGCACATTATCTTTTTCTTTCTTCTCTTTTTTCTTTCCCTGAGACAGAGATAGAGAGATGTCTCTCCCACGTGCTGATTTACCCCCCCCCCAAATGCCTGCAACAGTCAGGGGACAGAAGGCAGGAGCTGGGAAGTCAATTCAGGTCTCCCATGTCGGGGGCAGGAACCCAAACACTTGAGTCATCACTGTTGCCACCCAGGGTCCATGCCACCAGGAAGCTGGAGTCAGGAGCTAGAACTGGGAGTTGAACCAGGCACTCTGTGGTGTGACACTGTTATCCTCACCCACATCTTAAATATTAGGCCATTTTTTTTTATATTTTTATTTTTGACAGGCAGAGTGGATAGTGAGAGAGAGAGACAGAGAGAAAGGTCTTCCTTTTGCCATTCTATTTTTCCATGAACTTTTTGAGCCCCCTCATAGAATTTTGGCATTTATTAACAAAGCCTTCCTTGCTACCAGGTTTGCCTCCTTTTTTGCAAAATTTATTCTATCTATTAGGATTAGTTTTTGGCAAATGTGGGATGCCCAAAAGAAAAGTGGCATAAAGATAAAACTTTATTTTTCTCTTGAGTGTACAAATTCTAAATGTAAGGATTGGTATGGTGCCTCCATGTTCAAATAGGATTGAGGTTTCCTCTAGCCTGATCCGCTACCATGTTCAATGTACAGTTTTCACCTCATGATCCAAGGAGCCTGGTCCACCCAGCTAACATATCAGCATTCCACCCAGAAGAAAACAGGACAAGGAAGAGCATACCCACTCCTTGCCAGGACTCTTCCTGGAAGTTGTACCCATTACAATGACATCAAATTAGCCTTCATTGTCTGGCCACACCTCACTGAAATATCTTGATTAGGGGCTATTCTATTCCCTGCTGAAAAGCAGGAATCTAATACTGTAGAAAATGGGCATAACTGATATTTGGGGACAACTAGTCATAGACTAGACTGTATTTCCATCAACTGCAATCCTACCCTTCTGAATTTTGCCTGTGTGATTTTTGTTTTTATTTCTTTTAAAAGATAATGCCTCCTCATTCATTTGCCTCCCACCCATGAAGTCCTAATGAGAAAGACTATGCTTCCATTTTTTATTTTTTTTCTTTCTGTCTCAAACACCATTCACTGGTCTCCAAGTTCTCACTACACTATGCATTCTTTCCTTCCACAGGTGATGGCCGTGCCACCTGGCCCTCCGCAGCTGCTGCAAGTGCTGCTCACCATTTCTCTGGGCTCCATCAGGCTCATTCAGGCTGGCGCCTACTATGGGATCAAGCCACTGCCACCTCAGATTCCTCCTCAGATGCCCCCACAAATTCCACAATACCAGCCCCTGGGTCAGCAAGTACCTCACATGCCTTTGGCCAAAGATGGCCTCACCATGGGCAAGGAGATGCCCCATGCACAGTATGGCAAAGAGTACCCACACCTCCCTCAGTACATGAAGGAAGTTCAACCGGTGCCAAGAATGGGCAAGGAAGCAGTCCCCAAGAAAGGCAAAGGTACACCATCCTCCTATGCTCTCATAAATCAGCAGCTTTCTCAACTCCTAAATTACAGGGTTAGGGGGAAAAGCCACATTTAAAACCTTTTAATTCCATAATTCATTATGTACCTTTATTAAATGCTAAGTGGCTCTGTGCCCTATTCTTGAAAAGCTCAATTCCGTATCAGTCCATCTTCTTTTACTTTATTGAAATACCTGAAATTCAGTGCTTTATAAAGAAAAGAGGTTGATTTAACTCACGGTTCTGCAGGCTGAAAGTCCAAGATAGGGTGGTTCCATTGATTCTGCCTCAGGTGATAGCTCCTGTGGCTGTGTTCCAAGGTAGAAGGTGTCACGGCAAGAGTGCGTGCAAGAGGGAAAGATTACAGGGTGAGACAGGAAGCCAGAGATGGACGAGCAGCCAGGCTTGTTCTTTTATATCAACCTTTGAGAAGTACGAACTGAACTCAGAGCCCCATGAGAACTTCCTTAATCCCATCTGAGGGTGTGCCCCCAGTGACCTTAATTGGGCCCCTCCTCTTCAAGATCCATCTCTCACATCACCACTCTGGGCACTAAGCTTCTACAACAGGAAACTTGGGGTTGGGGGAAAACCACATCCAAACTATAGCAAAATCTAAAAGAAAGATACAGATAGTGGTACTATTTTATGTTTTGCTTTATTGCTTTAATTAGCATCTTATGAAACAAAACGTATTTAATCACAAATAGTCTATCCTTTATCATTGAGTTATTCACACTTTCAAACATTCAGCAGCCATCTAGTGAGCACTTACCTGTGTCAGGCTTTGGGCCAGATGTTGGGGGAATAAAGCAGTAAAAGAAAGGCAGCAAGTTAGTCTTCTGAACTAGAACGAAGCTGTAAGGACTTGCTGGATTTAAAAAAAAAAAAAAAAAAGGATGTGAAAGCATTTTACAAGCCAGGCCTGGGATCACTGTCTTTACTATTACTCTAATTAAGCTACGCATGTCAATCAATAAATAGAAGGACACTAGGGATTACTGTCTGCATCTGGAAATGATATCTAAATTTCTTACCCATCCCTTTCCAGTCATATGTATTAGCTATTCAATACCTACAGAATATCTGTCACTGAGACACTTTATTATAAATTCAGTAGGTTCACCTGGAGTCCTCAGAAACCTAGAATTTGTAGGAAAAAACACTGCCTCAAAGGGGTGGTTACTTTTGGAGCATCCTGACCAGTCCCCAGTGTGGCAAGAAGCTCTTCCTCTGGAGAACTACTGGACTTGGCGATAAGAGACCTAGACGCCTGGATACCAGAAATGAGGGATACCCTAGTCATCTGGTCTCTCTCAGACTATTTTTCTCCATCTGTAAAATAAAATCGTTGAGAGAATCAGATACATGTGATAAATGTCAAGGAAATGCTGAAGTTTGAGTTGCTACACCTGATCATTCAACAGATTCCCAACAAGAACTGAGTGTGTCCTGGGCACTGAGCTGCATACCAGGGATTCAAAACATGTAACCCTTCCCCAGACACTCCCTTGATACAGCAACTGCCTAGAAACAGGATGTCTTAATGGCACTATCATAATACAAGGACTATTTCCAATTTTCTGCTCTTCAGGAAGTAGTTTGCCACTTAGAAGGCTATCTCAGACCATTGTCTTCTCTCCTTCCTTGAATGGCCTGCCTGGCTTTTGGTATTCCCTGTACTTATTCCTATCTGAAAAGAGGTTCTGTTTTCCTCCAACTGCAGCTCAGTGAAAAACACAATGGCCAGTATTAAGATGTTACTATCGGTTAGACTAAGATGCAGACATCATATATTTTATTTCTTCATGCTATCCATTATTTCTAGTAGTACAGGATACCCACAGCTGTGTTTATGTGAAAGATACAGCAAAATCATTATAGCAAAATGTACTTTGTAGTTCAACAGCAATTCAAGAAAGCATTACACTTTTCATATCTATCCTCTAATCTTATAGTGTGGCTACATTATTTTTATTGCTCAGAGAGGCAAGCAGAGATTCTGATGGCTAAAGTGACCCAGTCAAGATCTCATGCCAAAGCCAGAGGATAAGCTGAACTTCCTGCTCCTAAACCACCTCTCCTGTGGAAAAGCAAGATTTGTGAATGAGAAATAATCAGAAATCCTACTGCACATTAAAGAAATTAAGCAAACCTATTGGCTCCAAGGAACATAGATGAAAAGATGTTATTGAGCTAATAAAATGCCTTAATTCTTACCTGAATCCACATGATAATGCTTTCATCATAAATATCAGACTATATTTCAGATATGAGGGAATATTATGTAGCCTTAAATTACTAAATAAAAAAATCAACTAGGCACAGAAAGACAACTGCATGTTCTCACTTATACAAGGGAACTTCAAAGAGTTCATGGGAAAATAAAATTTTCAAAATTTATTTTGGTGCAAACATTTTTGAAATCCATTCTTAATTGTTCATAAAATGCATCTCCTATGAACTTCTTGAGGACTCTTCATCTGTGGGCTCTGAAACAATTAACCTGTACAACCAAGAAGTAGAATGGTGGTTAGCAGAGGCTGGGAGGGTAAGGGGGTGATAAGGGTCAAAGGGTAGAAGGTCTTGGATAGGAATAAGCTTGGCTGGGCTTTATTTATTTAATTTTTTTGAGATCTATTACACAGCACAGTGAAAACAGTTAATAATAGTATATTGTACATTTTAGAGCGACTAAAAGAATAAATTCCAAATGTTCTCACCATAAAAAATAAGTATTCAAAGTGATAGGCATGCCAATAACTTGATTTAATTATTCTACATTGGTATTCATATATCATAACATTGCTTTGTACCTCATAAATAATCTGTCAATTTGCAATTAAAATTTTTCCAAAAATAAAGTTTACAAAACTGTATTATTGACTTTATAAATAACTAGAAAAGAAGTCAAAGATTTCTGACACAAAGAAAGTAGAAATATTTAAGAGATGGAAATGCTAATTACTCCCAATTTGATCACTATATATTGTAAAAGTGTATGGAATTATCACACTGTATTTCAGAAATACAGTGAAATTTAGAGAAAAAAAGTCACTGAAAAATACAATATGAATTAAAGTAGAAAAAAATGATAGAGAAAATAGAGAACTATCCCAACATGGCTTAAAATACATACAGGGTTAGGTATAGGAGTTAAAATGCCCACATCTCATGTAGGAATGCCTGGCTTTAATTCCCAGCTCCAGCTTCTGACTCCAGCATCCTGCTAATGCAGACCCAAGGAGGCAGCAGTGATGGCGCAAGAGATTGCATCCCTGCTACCCATGTGGGAGACCTGGATTGCGTTCCTGGCTTCTGGCTTTTGCCCCAACCTAGGGTCCATTGTGGGCATTTGGAGAGTGAACCAGCAGATAGCAACTCTCTCTCTCTGCCTCACAAATAAGCAAAAATCTTAAAAATAACAGTAGTAAAATGAAATACATACACATACACATACACAGACAGACACACACACACACACGCACACAAAGGTACTTCAAAACATTCATGGAAAATGGAATTAAAAGATAAGCTTATTTGGGTGCAAAAACATTGAAGTCAGTGCATAGTTTTCTCATAATACACATTTCTCATGAACTTTTTGAAGACTATTCACATGCAAGTATACCTAGAATAAATAAGATGAAAATACATATAAACATCAAGTGGTTATCTCTGAGTAGTGAGCCTAAAAAGCAATTTTGATATTTCTTAGTATATCTTTGAATTTTCCAAATTTTCCATAATGAACATACCATAATATCTCCAAGTTCTGTACTTCAAAAATGTTTCTTAATTACCTTTTAGCCTTTTCACTTAACCAATCCTTATACAAGCAGCTACACGGACCAGTTCTCAAAACAATACCTCAAATGTATCAAAGAAATCATCAGCTTTATTTTCCCTAAAGTGGTGAAATTATGCAGTCCTGAGAATGCACACATTATTCCTCATGAAAGTAACAGGCAAATGTGTAACACCTACATAATGATTCTCATTACTTCTTCCAAATAAGGGATAATCAGTATTAATCTCCTCTCTCTCTTTCTCTCTCTCTCCCTCCCTCCCTCTCAGAAATACCATTAGCCAGTTTACGAGGGGAACAAGGTCCCCGTGGAGAACCTGGCCCAAGAGGACCACCTGGGCCTCCCGGTTTGCCAGGTCAAGGGATACCTGGAATCAAAGGAAAACCAGGGCCACAGGGATATCCAGGAGTTGGAAAGCCAGGTATGCCCGGAATGCCAGGGAAGCCTGGAGCCATGGGAATGCCTGGGGCCAAAGGCGAAATTGGACCCAAAGGGGAAATCGGGCCCATGGGAATCCCAGGCCCACAAGGACCTCCAGGGCCTCATGGACTTCCTGGCATTGGGAAGCCAGGTGGGCCAGGGTTGCCAGGGCAACCAGGAGCAAAGGGTGATCGAGGACCCAAAGGCCCACCGGGACCTCCAGGCCTTCAAGGACCTAAAGGAGAGAAGGGCTTTGGGATGCCAGGTCTGCCAGGCCTCAAGGGTCCTCCAGGGATGCACGGCCCCCCTGGCCCCGTCGGACTCCCGGGAGTGGGCAAACCAGGAGTGACAGGTTTCCCTGGGCCCCAAGGACCCCTGGGGAAGCCAGGGCCACCAGGAGAGCCTGGCCCACAGGGCCCAATTGGGGTACCAGGGGTTCAAGGACCTCCTGGATTGCCTGGAGTCGGAAAGCCAGGCCAAGACGGGATCCCTGGCCAGCCAGGATTTCCTGGTGGCAAAGGGGAGCAAGGACTGCCAGGGCTTCCAGGACCCCCTGGCCTTCCAGGAGTCGGGAAACCAGGCTTCCCAGGACCCAAAGGTGACCGAGGGATAGGGGGTGTTCCTGGGGCTCTTGGACCGAGGGGGGAGAAAGGACCAGTCGGGGCCCCAGGAATGGGGGGTCCCCCAGGAGAGCCAGGCCTGCCTGGAATTCCAGGTCCTATGGGCCCCCCAGGTGCTATTGGTTTCCCTGGGCCCAAAGGAGAAGGTGGAATTGTGGGGCCACAGGGGCCACCAGGTCCCAAGGGTGAGCCAGGGCTTCAGGGTTTCCCAGGAAAGCCAGGTTTCCTTGGTGAAGTAGGGCCTCCTGGCATAAGGGGTTTGCCAGGTCCCATAGGGCCCAAGGGAGAAGCAGGGCATAAAGGTTTGCCTGGGCTCCCTGGGGTTCCAGGGTTGCTTGGACCAAAAGGAGAGCCAGGCATCCCAGGGGATCAAGGTCTGCAAGGTCCCCCAGGGATCCCAGGGATTGCAGGCCCAAGTGGCCCCATTGGACCACCTGGGATCCCAGGCCCCAAAGGGGAGCCAGGCCTCCCAGGGCCCCCTGGGTTTCCTGGGGTCGGGAAGCCAGGAGTAGCAGGACTTCATGGGCCACCTGGGAAGCCTGGTGCCCTTGGTCCTCAAGGCCAGCCTGGCCTCCCAGGCCCCCCAGGCCCTCCAGGGCCTCCAGGGCCCCCAGCTGTGATGCCCCCGACACCAGCACCCCAGGGAGAGTATCTGCCAGATATGGGGCTGGGGATTGATGGGGTAAAAACTCCTCACGCCTATGCGGCCAAGAAAGGCAAGAACGGCGGGCCAGCCTATGAGATGCCTGCCTTTACCGCCGAGCTGACGGCACCCTTCCCCCCGGTGGGGGCCCCGATAAAGTTCGACAGACTGCTCTACAATGGCAGACAGAACTACAACCCGCAGACGGGCATCTTCACCTGCGAGGTTCCCGGGGTCTACTACTTTGCGTACCACGTTCACTGCAAGGGGGGCAACGTGTGGGTTGCTCTGTTCAAGAACAACGAGCCCGTGATGTACACGTACGACGAGTACAAAAAGGGCTTCCTGGACCAGGCGTCTGGGAGTGCGGTGCTGCTGCTGAGGCCCGGGGACCGCGTCTTCCTCCAGATGCCGTCGGAACAGGCTGCGGGACTGTACGCTGGGCAGTACGTCCATTCCTCCTTTTCAGGATATTTATTGTATCCCATGTAGAAAGAAAAAAAAAGAGAGAGAGAGATTTAATAGAAGAAAATGATGCACCAAAAAAAATCCAAATGAAACATGTTCATTGCTTCAAAACATTTATATAGTTGGAAAGTTATATTTAAGTGAAAATTTGGACCGTCGTGTACAAAAACTAAGATGCATGTGTTTAATCCTCTGCACAGCAGCTTGTAACTGAAAATGATGGGATAGATTTTTGTATCAAGTACTGACACTCGTGTTGTACCCACTGGAATCATATTAGCTGTTGTATGTTATGTGCTTCCACGATAACCTGCTTATTCAGATCAGTCAGAATCTCAGTATGAAAGATCATAGCTAATGAGAGTCACTCACATTGTTTAAAGTATTTATAAATATGCCTTAAAGAAATGTCAATGTTAACAACCATCTGCCGTATTTACTTGTATTTGTGCAGACACTTTGCTGGGGGAAGGTTGAGAGAGATTCTGCTCTGTTACTGCCCCAGTGGGAGGGGGCCGTGGGACCGTGGGAGTATTTTAGTCCAAGGGATGTGTCTTTTTGTGTCCGAGGCTGTGTCTTTTAGCAACAAGGGTCCTTGTTGGAGATGTGTGTCGGCTGTCTCTAAAAGAACAAGTGAACCAATCAACCCTTGTGTGCAGTTATTCAGCGCCCTGTCTGTGCCCAGCACTGGGTGAGACACTTTGGTGAGGCAGTAGACAGGGTGCCGCCAGGAGCTAACACACCAGCTGGGAGACATGCGCAGTAATCAACTCATGTATGACCGAAGGGCTTCTTTTGCTTTGTTTTTCCCATGCCTGATTTTATTTTTTTTCCTTCTCACCATTTAATTTCCACTTCGGCCCAACTATAAACACCTGGAAGTTATAAGAAAGAAAAAAATAACATTTCCTGCAATAACTTTCAGTTTTGTAGGATCTTTATGATTAATAATAGTTATCAATTAAGTTTACATGCATGCACAGTCCCCCTCATTTGTCTCCACACAAAAACACAGTGGATTTTGGCCATGGCGATACCAGTATTTTTTAGTACCTGTGTTATGGGGTATGCAAGTCAATGTCAATGTCTCATCTGAGGTGCCAAAGTCAGTTTCCAAAATCCAAGCCATTCTTTATCTGGGAACAAGACTTTTCAGAATTATTTAAGAAAACAAATGTTTATTTGAGGATACAGTTCTTAAGCTTGAAATTGAGAAGAAAATGTGCTGTGAAATTACAGGTGATGGAACAACATTTGGTGCCCCACATGAGGAGGCACAAATCTTCCCCCTTTTTCTTATAATAGGAAAAGAATGTCTTGAAGCAACCTGTGGACAAACTACCCATGGTGTTGATGTTGCCCCATACTCAGCGCAAGTCAGGGACCAATACAAGTTTGAAAAGAAGAAATTGGTGTTCTTCCAGGTTTTCACCGAGGCACACAGCAATTGCTCTGGGTATTCTAATCTGATCTCAAAGGCCAAACCATTTCATGTCTGCTATCAGCCTGCTGCTGACACTATTAGCCCCTTGGGGAAAAACGATGGGATGCTGGTGTAGGAATCTTGTACCTTTTTCTGAAAATGGAAAGAGTGAGGAATTGAGGGGATAGATATAGATGGGAAAATTCACAAATAAATACGGTATAAGAAACACATGGAAATGTGTCTAGGTCAAATCTGAATCATTTCTACCATCACAAAAATACTTCTCTTGGCCTAATATTCATCTTTTTCCTTGTATAGTATACAAGCACTATTTCCTCACAGTTTCTAAGAAAAATGAGTTTGTACCACAGGTTTCTTATTCATTGCTAATTGTATAGCACACTTCAAAAATATGTCGTACCCAACCTTCATGTTCAAAGCAGACAGCACTTATGTGGGAAATATACTTTGGGGTGGTCCTATGGCTGCTGTTTTGGGGCGGAGGATGACAGAGGGGACATGGATCCACTGGGCCCCTTCTGTTTAAACAGCTTGGAGGCAGGTCAGATCCACTGCTTTATGAAACTGTATTTATCTGTACATGTATGGGCTGTTCGTTTTCACCAGGCAAGAGAGAAATTATCTCTTTAGTTAAAACCAAATTTCACTTTCAAAATACCTTCCAACTTATTTATTGGTTGTTACTCAATTGCCTGTGTGTGTGTGTGTGTGTGTGTATTAGGCATATGCTTCAAACTTTCAGATGGGGAAGAAGCAAAACCAATGCCAGATACTATGTATTCTTCAATGGTGCTAATCTCAGAGCTAAATGATACTCCATTAATTTAAGAAAGAGTTTTAAATAATGACCTATGTGCCTGTGTTTGCCCTTTGATTTTTGCACATCATGTTAACACATTAGTGAAAAAGCAGGTGAAACAACCGCGTGTTCTAAAGTCTAGAGTTAGTGCTGAGATCCCTATTTAATTCAAGATGAACTAGAACTTTTCCATGTGAAATGGACCAAACTGGCATTATTGTTATTTAAATACAGAGTTTTAATGCAGTATGACACCCCATAGGGGAAAAGAATGTCTGTAGTGGGTGACTGTTCTCAAATAGTTTACAGAATACAACAGATGGTGAACAGACTGGTAACTTGTTTGAGTTTCCATGATAGATTTGAGACTTAATAGCAAATCATTTTTGTATTTAAATTTTTGTACTGATTTGAAAAAAAGTCATTAAATATCTTTTAAAGTATTTTTCTCATCTTGTTCATATCATTCAGCTGCTGCTGTATGAACTGCATAAGTTTTTTTTTTAATCCCCTACTGTAATACATAGCTAGCTGCTGAAGCAGAGGCCTAAAATAAACATAGCTCAGCCAGGACAATACATTCCTCTTGGTCCTAACAGCTTAGGGCATAAGCAGCCTAGAGCTCAGATGTTGGTTCCAATCAGGGCCCCAGGTTTCTTTTTGCTCTCCTATCCAGAGGGTATGCCCTCCCCTCAATCCCCAGGGTCCAGGAGAGCTAACAGTCATAGTCAGTGGAGGAGTGGGGTGTGGAGTGGGAAGGACAGGAAGGGGAGGGCACCCCTTTGTCTTAAAGGACTCAACCCAGCACTGCTCCCATATCCCAGTGCCCTGGGCTCAGCCACACTGCCACAAGGAGCAGCAAGGGAGTAGGGAAATGTGACTATTTGTTCTGGGTAACCACATGTCCAGCCAAAAATCAGGGGTTTTATTAATTTGGGAGAAAGAAGAACAGACATATTAGAAAGTGATTAGCTGCCACATCTGTCACTTCCATCATCAAAGACAAGAATCCCACCCACCTCTCTTCTTCACCAGAAACCAATCTTCACAAACTCCACTCTATTTCACTTTGCCACACTATAGCCAAATATTTGGGGGAGGGTACAGGGGTTAGTAGCACTCCAGGGTAGAAGCTGACCTGTTTCAAAAACCAAGGGTCTTCATAAGCGTAACTGATAGCGAAGGAATTATTTGTGGTGACTTACCAAGCCCAGAATGATCAAAATTTATCATGACTAGAATATCATTCAACAAGCAAGTGTGTACCACCAGACAAAAGCTGGTTAACTTTCTTGTTTAAACCACCAAGCTGGAAGATTAAGATCAGAATTTCCATTGCCATATAGCCCTAGTAGTCCTGTTTGATTCCACAGTCAAAAATATAGTGATCAGAGTCATCTTGTTGATAACAAAAGTAAATGAAAGGTTGGATACAGGAGACAGAGGCAGGAAGAAATAAATGGTTTGAATTCAGAATGCTGGACAAGAGGGCAACCCATCATCTCTGTAATGGAATGAAGCAATTCAAAATACACATGCAACTCTTCAATATGAGACACTTCAGCAATTTCATGTAAATTAGAATTAAAGATAAGTATTTTGGTATAAAAACATTTTGCAAGGCAAGCATCGTAGCACAGATTAGACTGCCACTTGGGACAACCACATCCCATATCACAGCACATGTTCAAGTCCCAGCTGCTCGGCTTCTGATCCAGCTTCCTGCTAATGCATCCTGGGAGGCAGCAGGTAATGACTAAAGTGCTTGAGCCACTGTTACCCATGGAAACATCAGGTCACGTAGGAGACCTGGATGGAGTTCCTGGTTCCTGGCTTCAATCTGGACCAGCCCTGGCTGTTGTGACCATTTGGGATTTGGGGAGTGAACCAGCAGATAGCAGATCTCCTCCCAACCCCATACTTCCTATTTTCAAGTAGATGAAACTAAACATTTTTAAAATTCATGGAAAAATGAAATTAAAAGATGTTTATTTAAAACGTTTTGAAAATGATGTTTTTTCATAATATGCATTTTTCATGAACTGAAGACCCCTCGTATGCACAGATTTCAAGTTTTTTGCACCAAAATAAACATCATTTAATTTCATTTTCCACAAACTGCTTAAAGTACCCCTCATTATATAGTCCCTTTATATGAAAACCAAACAAGCCCCCACCATGTACTGCTAGACATAATCCTTCTTGTCTAAAAAAAAAAAAAAAGAAGAAGAAGAAGGAGAAGAAATTGGCTTCTGCTAGGAGGATCTCAAGATATTGGTTAAAGAAAAAATTGATTTCCGAGGGTGGATAGTGTGATGCCGAATGGACACACACGTGCTAGACAGATTTAGAAAGAGAAAGCCCAGCCCACACAGCTCCTTCCCTAGAAAACCCTCTCTGACTTGACTGATTGGCAAACTGCTCAGTATCCAACACTCAGAGCAGCATGATGCCCCCAATAAACCTGCCCTGCTGTTTAGATTTAGTCCCCTGCCACCTCCCATCACCACCCTGCCTTGCACATTCTTCTGTGCCTTTACTCTTCCTGCTTTGTAACTGCTGTCTGTCTTCCCTACTGGAATATTAGCTTTCTGAGTTCTTTCACCTTAGCACCCAAAGCCTGCATTGAGTTACTGATCCAATACCAGGGCTGAAGGCAGAATGGATCACTCAGGGATGCTGCGGGACAGAAACCTAAACCTGTCGTGAGGTCTGCTGCATGGCAGGAAATTCCCTTCCCAGCCAGGGCTTCCCAAGATTATATGGAAGTTAACTGTGAGCTGAAACTTTATCTCAGATCACTTTTTGGAGAAGATGATTTTGACTGAAATGTAGGATTTGGATAGAGGGAGCATGAAGGTGTCAAGAGGAATAGCTCCTTTTCTAATGGAAAGGAACAAACTTGGGGAGGGGGCTGTCCTGGAGAGGAGGTTAGGGAAGGGAAGGAAGCTGAGATCCAGGAAATGGCCTAACTGGATTGCAGCACCTATCCTAGGACAAATAAAGGAGACTGATTCAATAACTAGAGGAGGGCCCAGGGACTCACTGTTTTACACACAGGAAAGAAGCACTTCTGTGTTGTCTAATATGCATAAGAAGCTATTGTAGGGCTGGCGCCATGGCCCACTTGGCTAATCCTCCACCTGCAGCACCGGCACCCCGGGTTCTAGTCCTGGTTGGGGCACCGGATTCTGTCCCGGTTGCTCCTCTTCCAGTCCAGCTCTCTGCTGTGGCCCGGGAAGGCAGTGGAGGATGGTCCAAGTGCTTGGGCCCTGCACCTGCATGGGAGACCAGGAGGAAGCACCTGGCTCCTGGCTTTGGATCAGCGCAGCGCGACAGCTGTAGTGACCATTTGAGGGGGTGAACCAACGGAAAGAAAGACCTTTCTCTCTCTCACTGTCTAACTCTGCCTGTCAAAAAAAAAAAAAGCTATTGTAGGTCTTAAGTAGGGAAGTTGTATAAAAATAAACATTTTAGAAAAATTGGCTAAGATTCTATGACAACAACACAGGAGAAGGGAAGGTACAGGTAGTAGAACCAATTAGGAGACCAGAAGAGCTGTCATTGAGAAATGAAACAACAAGTGATGGAAGAGGGTCCTGAGGAAGCCTCCCATGAACAGAGGGCCAGGAAGGCTCAGGTATCAGCATCCAAGGACTGAATGACCAGGAGCTCAATGGTGGAAAGGAGAAGAATGGAACAACTGAAGACAGTGGCAAGGCTGAACTGAACAGATGCCCTTATATGGGAGAAAGAAGCTTGGCCCCAAAGCAGTTTCCTCTTCAAAGACAGGGATGGTGATTCCACTTGAAGAGCCATTCCCAGGCAGGGGGAAAGAGAAGATAGCGAGTTTATGTATAGACTTGTGGAAGTGGACTTGATGGTGGGGGCAATAGTTTACTAAGTTTACCATAATAACATAACCACAGACTGGGTGGCCTTAACTAACAGAAATTTATTTTTGTACAGTCCTGGAGCCTACAAGTCAAAGATCAAAGCGTCAGCAGAATTGGTTTCTTTCTAAGGCTTTTCTCCTTGGCTTGTAGATGGCAATCCTCTTCCATGTGTCTTCACATGGACTTCCCTCTGCCTAGGTCTTCACTGACCTCTTTTTATAAGGGCACCAGGCATACTGGATCAGAGCTCATCTTTGTGACCTCATTCTGACTTCATGATCTCTTGAAAGCTCTGTTTCTAAAAGCAGTCACATTGTGAGGTACTAGGAAAGTTTCAACCTATGCGTCGTGGAGGACACAGTTCAGCCTGTGACAGGTGGACATGGGGGTACTCAGGGTATGCATTTGGTAGTAAGATGAGGGGTAGAGCCATGTGACTGGAAAAAGGCCTAGTGACTTCTTCCAATAAAAAGGAGAAAAAAGTAGCACTGTTTGCAGACAAAAATAATCGAATTGCTCTACAATTTCCTTTCTTTTTTTTTTTTTAACTGTAGGAAGTTAGTTAAACAAATCCTTTCACAAAGATAGGGCTGAGGTAAACATCATCCCAATGTATATGGACATACAATGAATTCCAAATAAACAGAACCAACATAGAGGGAACACAACCACATTCTACTACATTTTGCAGGGTTTTCTGCTTAATGTTCCTTGTGACTCCTAAGGTGCAAATGTTCATGCTCATTCCTTATGGATAACAACAGCAGTTATGAAGTGGCCTTGGGTTTTCTGTCAGACAATCACACAGAATTTCTGATGTTTTCTTTCATTTTCCTAGACAATACTGTATCAGGATAAATTTCATTCTCAAACAACTTATTCTTTATGATGTCAAAATGGTTGTTGATGAGGTACCATTATTTTGAACATATATATTCTCTAATTCTTGGGGAAAAGTGTAATGGAATTTAAATCCAAAGCAGGAAGCATCATCCCACTTTGACAAGTGATTCAGAAGCTTCTCGTGTGTGTTACTGAAACCCAGGACCATCTAATCAAATTTTCCTGTAAGGCATCCAGAACCTTTAGAAAGATTTTTCTTCATTGTTATCTTACCGTCACTAAAAATAGATTTCCATTAGACTCAGTAGCACTTGTAAGCTAAAGTTTATAAACCCAGTGGAAACCCACAGTTCACATGCCTTGTTAAAACCATCAAAACCTGAAAATTAATTTTAGCAATGAGCACAGCCAAGCCAGTTCTCATTTGACAATTTCTACATCTGCTCTTCATTCGTAAATAAAAGACACAATGGGAAAAGCTGATGGAACATTTACATTTCTCCACTTGCCTATTGCTAACAACAGTTGTCTTTTCTCACCAAAGACTATGCTCTTCTTGTAGTTGACTCTGCTGAGCAAAACACAGAATTTTAGGAGGATGACTTTGGGGTCAGATTGCCAGGGAACAAATCACAGTGCCCCTATTTACTAGCTGTGATACCTTGATAATTAACCTCTAAACTTCGGTATTTTCTTTAAAGATT